CAAAGAAAGAAGTGGGTACAGTCCCTCTATGTCGGGGAGGTCAACCATATGCCCCCGGCTAAGAGGCCGAGGGCAGATCACATAATGTTCACTGATGCAAATCTGCCCCCGAGTTCACTTCCTCATAGGGATGCCCTCGTCATACAGACATAGATAAAAAACACTGTCATCCAATGCACTTACATCGACACGGGTAGCTCCGTCAACGTAATGTACCTCAGCACTTTTCGAGAACTTGAGCTCGATATGGGGTCCCTCTGGCGAATCAAAACACCCCTCTTAGGGTTCACCGGATATAGCATTGACGTTGAGGGCGTCATCTCCTTATTGACCGAATTCAGCGATGGATTCCACAGGGCCAAGCTTGAAGTGGAATTTGTCGTCGTCAACCTCGACTGCGCGCATAACATCATCCTCGGCCGGCCCACCCTCGAAGACTTGGAGGTCGTCATCTCGATGAGGCACGTCTGCCTCAAATTTCCCACGGTCGGCAGCGTGGGATACTCTCGGGCAAACCAGAAGCTCTCCCGGGCTTGCTACCTTCAACTCACCAAGAAGGTTACCAAAACTGAACTCCGCATTGATACTATTACCGCCGCTATAGAATAAGAGAAAGGTAGGCCGCGGGCTCAACCTTTCAAGGAGACTGAAGACTTCGTACTCGATCCGGCCAAGCCGGAAAGAGTCTTGAAGATTGGAGCCAAGATCACCGAAGACTTGAAGACCGACATCACAGAGGCCCTCCGCGTCTACTCCATTGTTTTTGTATAGGGGCCAGAGGACATGCCGCGAATCCACCAAAGGGTGATCACTCATCGCCTGACGGTGGACCCTTCCTCAAAACCTATGCATCAGAGAAGAAGACCTCTCTCAGCCGAAAGGAGGGACTTTGTAAAGAAAGAGGTCACTATGCACCTCTCCATAAAACACACCAGAGAGGTAAAATACCCTTCGTGGTTAGCTAATGCGGTCCTCGCACAAAAACCACCCACCTTTCGCATGTGCGTGGATTACACAGACCTGAATAAGGCATGTCCTATGGATCCTTTCCCTCTATCGAACATTGACCAGCTGGTGGATGAAACAGCGGGATGTGAAATCATGTCTTTCCTCGAAACTTTTCGAGGATATCACCAGATATATATGCATGAGGGGGATGCGGAAAAAACAACCTTCATGATGCCCGAGGGAATCTTCTGCTATCTAGTTATGGCCTTCGGGCTAAAGAATTCGGGCGCCACTTACACTCGAATGGTGGCCAGAGTGTTTCAAGCCATCCTAGGGTGCACCATGGAGGCTTACGTCGACGACATGATCGTCAAAAGCAAATGATCAACCAGCCACACCGAGGACCTCCGGGAAATTTTCGCCATCATGCAGAAATTCAACCTCCGGTTGAACCCGAAGAAATGCACCTTCGGCATACAAAGAGGGAAGTTTTTGGGCTACATGGTTAGCCGAAGGGGCATCAAGGCCAACCCTGAGAAAATCTAGACCATCATCAACATGGAGCCCCCACGTAACGTGAAAGAAGTCCAAAGATTGACAGGCCGCCTAACAGCCCTCAATCGCTTTCTTTCTAAGTCAGTAGAGAAGGCCCTTCCCTTCTTCCAAGTAATGAGAAAGACCGTTAGCTTCCAATGGACTACTGAATGCCAAGTAGCCTTTGACGAGTTGAAACAATACCTCCAATCACGTCTGGTGCTCTCAAAGCCCAAGGTAGGAGAGATATTATACCTTTACCTAGGCGTCAGTCCCGCCGCCATCAGCTCAGTCCTCATCTGGGAGGAAGACGACATTCAACATGCCGTCTTCTATGTCAGCAAGACCCTCAGGGAGGCGGAACTCAGGTATTCTCCCATGGAGAAGACGGTACTAGCTATCGTTTGGACCGTCAAGAAGCTAAGCCATTACTTCCAAGCCCATCTGGTCCACTGATGAGGAGCCCCACCAGCTCCTCCCGAATGGTGCGATGGGCTATCTTCCTTAGCCAATACAACATAGACATCCGTCTGAGGCCTGCCATCAAGGGCCAAGCCCTGGCGGACTTCGTAACAGAATGCACGACAAGATCTGCAGTGGAAGAGGAGCCCCCGACACCCCTGGACGAATGGTGGACTCTCTACACTAGGGCTGGCATTTTGAACCGAAAAACCGAAAACCGAACCGAAAATAACCGAACCGCTTTAGAAAAAAACCGAACCGGACCGAACCGAACGAAATTGGGTCCCAATAATCGGGACCCGAAAAAAAATCGGTTCGGTTTCGGTTTATGTGCATAAAATATCGGTTCGGACCGAACCGAACCGACATTTTTATATTAATAATAATAATTGTTATTTATAATAACAATAATAATTAATGACGTTTAATAAATGTATAATACTGAACTGAGCATGATTTGAACGTACTTGAAGAGTAGCCGACTTGGTTAGCCAGCGTCTGTTGTCATCCCTAGGTCGCGTGTTCGATTCCTGCAGTTGTAAGTTTTGTTTTTTGAGTTTTTTTTTCCTATTCTCTTTAATCTTGTCCCACACCGGAAAATGAGAAGGTTCCTACTCCAAAACTTCAATATAAATAAGGTCCCCTTAGTGTAGAATGCCAAAATATGTTCTTGGAAGCTAAGTTACGTTCTGGGCTTCCATTGGGCTAATTGGGTTCCAATATTGGCAAGTTCCAATGGGCTTTAATCAATTGAATATCAGTTCAAATTTATTTATTACAATTTAATCGGTTTTTTCAGTTTCCGGTAAACCGAACCGAAAAAATCAGGTACCAAAAATCGGTACCCGTTTGTACATCGGTTCAGTTCCGGTTCTGATAATTTGGTAAATCGAAATATCGGTTCGGTTCGGGTATATACCAAATCGGTTCGGAACCCGAACCAAAACCAGCCCTACTCTACACAGATGGCTCCTCGGCTGCCAAAACAAGCGGGGGAGGCGTCGTCCTCTTCACACCCGAAGGCTTTCGAGCCTACTATGCCATCTGTTTCTCCTTCAAGGTCTCCAACAATGAAGCTGAGTATGAGGCCCTCCTCTGTGGCCTTCGGCTGAGAGCAAACCTGAAAGCCAAACAAATACATGTGAAGTGCGACTCCATGCTAGTTGTCGACCAAATCCCTGATGGAGTATATCGCCCAGGGACCCCCGACACACAAACTCCTACTTCTCCTACACGGGCCCATCAAGCCCGATGAGCACACAAAGCCCAAACGTAGCGATTCAAGCATGAAGAAGCCACCGTGCACATGTGGAGGCCTTCGGCCCTACGGTCGAAGACCCCAAATTCTAAGAGACAGCTTGATATGGACCTGCAAAGCTTCTGGGAAATTCTGGCTAAATTGTTAGCCTTCGGCTATGCCATGCCCTCGGCTGTAGATAGCCTTCGGCTGCATGATGCCTTCGGCTATATGATGCCTTCGACAATAAGTCCTCTCGGCGAATATTCCTTTTAGAGACAGGCAACCACCGCATTCAATGCGGCGTCACGTCCAACCACCACATTTAATACGGTGCACATACAAATGCCGGTGCCACCCCGATTGATGTGACCCTCAACCGTCAGATGTTTGACACGTGTCCCCGCCTAGCAATTATGACTGCTATAAATAGCAGCCTTTATTCCTCTTGTAAAGGATCCCAGATCAAAATTGATCAATATATCTGACTCTCTCTCTCTCCTACTTATTGCTCTGACTTCTCTCTAAGTTATTTGCCGCAATAACCCTTCGGATAATCTACCCCCGAGTACACTATCCATCAATATCTTATATTGCAGACATGGTGTATTACTTCAATGCCATTTAAATATTGAAATATCTTAATAATTAATAAAATCAAATCTAATTGAATTATTTTTAAGTAGGTTTAATTGTAAGAGGTTGTAGATTCAATACATAGATGAAAAAACTTTGTTCAAATAACAATCTAAATATATTTATTATCATTTCAAAAAAATTAAATTTAAAAAATGTTCGAGTTATTCGTAAAATTGGTTTTCATATTAAAGAGAAAATGATCAATTTTGCCATTAAATTTTGAAAACCACTCATTAAATACTTAAATAATCTATAAGTCTTATAACTTAAATACCTTAAAAAATTTAAATGTTAAGGAAAAAAGAATTATGAAAATAACAAGAATAGACATTCGAATATAATTAAATAAACATACTCTATCCGTCCCATTTAAAAGACTGTCACACAATCTAGATATTTGATTGACCGTAAAATTAAGAAATAATGACAAATATATATAACTGAAACGAAGGTAATGGACAAAAATATGACTAAGTGACTATAATAGTAACTTTATTGACCATGATAGTGTTCAACTTACATCATAGTGACTATGCATATTAACCGTAGTAATTGTTTTGTCCATAACTTATATTTTAGTAATATTTAAGGAAAACCTCTAAAATTAACCGATCCTTGTCAATGATAAGATGATTTTTAATAAATAAAATTTACATATTTAGAAACTACATTAAAAGTTTTATAAAATCACAAAAATTAAAATTTGATAAAAGTTGAATAGTACATAGAAAAATTAAATGAAAAGAAATAATTAATTGAGTGTATTTTTGGAAGAAAAACAGATCATTCCCAGAAATATGAGATAATATTCTCCTCCATATTACAATCCCGAGAATGTAACCTTGTCAATTTTTTTTTCCAAAATCGTGAACAAAAAATGAGTATCTAGCATTCCAGACATCACATTTCGGCCTCAATGTGAGATAAACCAAACCAAACGGACCCTACATGTCTACAAGTACTCGATTAGTCAATTAAACAAGATGAAGGCTTGAGGTTCATATATTCGTGATCCGGATCGCAACCCGTAGTCAAATATCTACCGTCAAAAGTTTTTAATCAATCAACGGCTGATACTCGTTTCAGGAAAACACAAATTTTCAAACCCCTCCAAAATTCCCAACCTTTCCCGCCCTCGAAACCCTTTATAAATTACGGGAGCCACCGCTCCTTGACTCAGGCATCAGCGGAGGCAATTTCGCAATCTAGTCTCAGAACTATCTCCGATCCTTTATTCGTTCTAATGGCTCGTACCAAACAGACCGCTCGGAAGTCTACCGGTGGAAAGGCTCCCCGGAAGCAGTTAGCAACCAAAGCTGCCAGGAAATCCGCTCCGGCAACCGGAGGAGTGAAGAAGCCCCACCGTTTTCGCCCAGGAACCGTTGCTCTGAGGGAGATCCGGAAGTACCAGAAATCTACGGAGCTTTTGATCCGAAAGCTCCCGTTCCAGAGACTTGTTCGGGAAATAGCCCAGGATTTCAAGACCGATCTGAGGTTCCAGAGCAGTGCCGTGTCGGCTCTCCAGGAGGCGGCGGAGGCTTACCTAGTCGGACTCTTTGAGGACACTAACCTTTGCGCTATTCATGCTAAGAGGGTCACCATCATGCCTAAGGATATGCAGCTGGCCAGGAGGATTCGTGGAGAGAGGGCCTAATCCTGAGCTTTGAAGTCTGTTTTTAATTTTCATTTCTGATCTCTTTAATTTTGTGAACTGCTAGGGTTTTGCTATGGCTTGCTTTTTGGTTTGCAATGGGGCAGTATTAAATTAATGTAAATCTTGTTTACTTGCTGGTAATCAACAACCAAAGCAGTGTTTGACTGAAATCTAAGTTCACTAAGCAATGCAATTGGCTGGAGTCTCTAAATGTGCTTAGACACTTATTATGAAGTAGTTGGTTTTTCTAAAAACAGTTTACCAAATAAAAAACTTTAGATGTTGATGTCTGTAATTGTGATTATCATACAGAGTATATATTAGTAGTAAGGTGTTTAAAGTAAAGTGTTTGAATAGTGCAAAAAATTTTATGTTGCAACTACGAAGTATTAAAGAACGGAGGAAGTATAACTTAAGACTTCAACTATGGTCACATATGAGATATTGAATTGAAAAAAATCTTTTTTAGGAGATATTGAATTGAAAAAAATCTTTTTTTAGGAGATAATTGAATTGAAGGAAATGGCACAATATTCTGATGAGTATGATTAGCAACTTTGTTTAATAGAGAACACTTCACCAGAGACGGATGGCTTACACTTCAATGTTTGGTAGGATGTAAAATAATTACTTTGCATTCGAAGTGTAAGGACGTAAAAGGTTTACATATTTTGGCTTGATTATTTAATGTAAATTGTAAAACATTTTCTAAAAACATTTTATAGTATACCATGCAAAGTATTTTATGTGGGGGAGAGTGTGGTAAAACTTTGCATAATTTTTATGAAACACCGCAACGATGATGCATGCAATTTAAAAATAAATTATACATCTAAACAAATAATGTAATTTATTTACAAGCAAAGTAATATTCCCTCAACTTTGCTTGCAATTATTTCGCATGCAAAGATTTAACATTAAACTACTGAACGAGCCCAAAAGAAATGCTCTATGTGCTCTTTGATTCATCATTGTCTTGGTGCACGTTTCTCACAGGGACCTTTAAGATGAAGTCACATGTTAAACAGACTCGAAAAATAAAAATCGGAACAATAGACTCTTACACCATGAACCACTAACACTGAATTGATCAAGACGACGCTTTTCAGAAGGGCGTGAAGTTCTCATCAAAACAGTTATTCAAGCCATACCAAGCTACACAATGAATGTTTTTCTTTTTCCAAAGGAGATGTGTGCACAGATCGAGAGAGTTATGAATGGCTTTTGGTAGAGAGGAAAATCTCATGTCGGAATTAGATGGATGAGCTGGGAAAGGCTGTGTGTTCCCAAGAAGCATGGAGGTGTGGTATTTCGGAAGCTTAGGGAATTTCATATGACAAACTGAAACATCTGGAACTGAAGCAAGAGTTGCAGCCACAATTTCATCCTTCTAGCCATCATCCATCTGCTGCCTGGGCATATGCAAATTCCTCCATACTTGGACCTGCATAATAAGCCTCCATCTTCTGTTCAGCCTTGGTTTCCTGATTCTGGTGCCACACACCATGTTACTGCAGATCCAACAAACATTCAACATCATGAGACATCAGCTATGCCTACTGATGAGCTTTTTATGGGAAATGGACAAGGTTTGGCTATTAAGTCTACTGGTTATTCCTCATTTCTATCACCTTGCAATCCTTCTTTCTCACTTACTCTCAAGAATATACTCTATGTTCCTACAATTACTAAAAATCTGGTTAGTGTGAGTAAGTTTGCTAAGGATAATCATGTATTCTTTGAATTCTATCCTTATGAATGTTTTGTCAAATCTCAGGGTTCTAAACAGGTTCTTATGCATGGTAGGCTTAGGAGTGATGGTCTCTACACATTTGATTCCTTTCCAACTCTTGCTTCAGTTCCAGATGTTTCAGTTTGTCATTTCAGTCAAAAACCTACTCATAGTTATAGTCAGTCAGCTACTTGTAATGTTGCTTCATCAAGTTGTAATAATCAAATTTCATGTAATAAGTTTGTGAACAATTTGTCTGCTTTACAATCTAGTAGTACTAATAGTTGTACTCTTTGGCATTTTAGACTGGGTCATCCTCATTTTGAGGCTTTAAAGTCTATTCTCAAACAATGAACTCATTTTCACTGACCTATGGGGACCAACCCCAATTTCTTCATTTGATGGGTATTCTTACTATATATCTTTCATTGATGCCTATACAAGATATACATGGATATACTTTCTCAAAAACAAATCTGAAGCCTTTTCAGATTTTCAAAAATTTCTATGCCTATGTTCAGACTCAATTTTCTACCACTATAAAATCTGTACAATCAAATTGGGGACGTGAATTCAGGCATTTTACTTCCTTTCTCACTGAAAAAGGCATAACACACAAATTGATTTGTCCTCATACTCACCATCAAAATGGTGTTATTGAAAGAAAACACAGATCTATTGTTGAAAAAGGTCCAAGTCTATTAGCCCATTCCTCCCTTCCTTTCAAATTTTGGGATGCTGCTTTTGCTACAACAGTTCATCTTATCAATAGAACTCCCTCAGCTTCTATCTCTAATCAAGTTCCTTATACTAAACTCTACAAATCTGTTCCAGATTACACCTTCTTAAGAGTCTTTGGATGCTCCTGCTACCCTTTTCCGGACCATATAATAAACACAAATTTCAATTTCATTCTTAAACTGACATCAGCCTTATATTCCTTTGGTTTCAAAAAGTCCAAGTGGGATGCTTCATTACTATTCTATCTTTCTAATACAATTCATATTTATGTGTTGATCTATGTTGATGACATTCTTGTTATTGGAAATAATACTACTGTTATTCAGCATCTTATTCAAAAACTAGACTCCAACTTCTCACTAAAGCATTTGGGGGAGCTTGATTATTTTCTTGGAATTGAGACTCAAAAACTTTCTGATGGCAGTCTACATCTCTCACAACACCCATGCTTAGAAAAAGCTCGCATGAAAGATTCTAAAGGCATCACAACACCCATGCTTAGTAGTTGTAAACTTTTAAAAGAAGTATGCAACTATGTTACTGATGCTACACACTACAGATCTATTGTAGGTGCTCTACAGTATGTTACTCTAACCAGGCCAATTAACAAAGTGTGTCAGTTTATGACATCTCCTTTAGAAGATCACTCGAAGGCAGTCAAACGTATATTAAGATATCTTTCTGGTACACTTAAACATGGTCTTCTTCTACAACCTATTCTTTCAAGATCTCCTATGCAACTAAGGGCTTTTTGTGATGCTGATTGGGCCTCAGATCCCAATGACAGAAGGTTAACATCTGGTTCTTGTGTGTTCTTAGGACCTAATGTCATCTCTTGGTGGTCTAGAAAACAACTATGTGTAACCAGATATTCAGCAGAAGCTGAATACAGAAGTCTAGTTGACACTGTAATTGAGCTTTTGTGTGGATATGGTTGTAACACATGAGTCACCTATTGTTGCAATTGAAAGCCCCGAAATTGAAAATCTTGTCAATGGGGATGTTCTACCCTCAGTTGAACCTATAATGGTGCATACCGAGAGTGATGTTGTCAATGAAGATACTCATGAAAATGAAGTTACTACTCTTGTACCTATGAAGGAAGCTAATGCTATTGTAAATGTTATGCCTAATATTGAGCCCATTGTTGAAAGTGTTGTTGAAAATGCAATTGTTATGCATACTACCGAGAGTGTCGTTGAGAAAATTGTCAATGCTAGTGATGTACAAACTCAAGAGCAGGTGATGGACCCCAAAGGAAAGGCTGTGGTTATGACCAAACAAACCGAGGGCACCTCCATTGACCCTAATGCACCTTATGCCGCGGCATTGGGCAAAACTATTGTCCATGGTGAAACCCAGCCCAAGAAGGCTTTTGCATCACTCTTTAAAGACAATAGGCAGCCGGACAAAGGAATGAAGTTGAGATACATTGAGCCAACATGTGATGTTATTGACCTTAGAACCCGGAAGCTTGCTACTATGATTGAACTATGGGGATATTGTTTGGTGGCTTACTTTGATGGGAGGTTCCCCAGACTCCAAAATATTCAAACTATGGTGCAAAAGTGGGCTGTTCCTTGTCGGCTTAGATCCCATGACAAAGGGTGGGTGATCTTTAGATTTCAAAATGCACAAGATAGGGAGAAAGTGCTAATGGAGGGACCGTATTCTCTATTTGGGAAAAGTATCAACTTGAAGGTGCTCTCGGAAGACTTCTCTATGGACGGTGAGGAATTCTTAAAGGTACCTATTTGGGTTCATTTCCCTCACCTTCCTATGAGAATTTGGGAAGAGGATATTATAAGCGAGGTGGCATCAAAGGTAGTCATTCCTTTGACTACGGATAGAGTGACACTTGAGAAAGCAAGATCAAACTTTGCACGAGTGTTGATTGAGGTGGATGCTTCAAAACCACCCCCTCTTGTAATTCCAATCCTTATGCCGAATGGAAAGCTACACAAACAACAAGTGAGGTATGAGACCTTTCCGAATTATTGCTTCCATTGTAAGAGGTTTGGACATCATGCTTTCACATGCAAAGTGTTAGCCGAGCTTGAAAAGAAGGGAAGGGAGGAGAAAGTTAAAGGGAAAGAAGTAAATAAAGAAGACACCTTGATTGAGGAAGGGAATAGGGAGGAACCCTCACATGCCGCGGCAAAGGGAAGCGAAGAACCAGTGCAAGCCGTGGCAAAGGGAAATTTGCATGCCACGGTAAAGGGAAAAATGAAGGTGGTAGGCGAGGGGGAAAATGAGGGGAACAAAGGGGAGACATCTAACAAGGGCAAAGGCCAGATTGTTCACCCTTTCCTTAAGCAAAGAAGATTGAACAAAGTGGACCAAAGGAACAAAAGTATTAAGCAAGCTAAAGCCAAGGCAAAGGAGGCTACCGAGGATGAAAGTCAATCAAGTGAGGAGGAGGAAGAGGTGGAACCGAGAGTTATCAAAGGCTTTGATAACATTTTCAATGATGAGGTGATCACTCAAATGGAGACGGAGGAGGCAAGGGAACCCAAATATGTAGTCAAACACATAGATGAGGTGGAAGAACCTATGGTCCGAATAGATCATCTTTTAAGGGAGGTCAAAGACAATGAACCGAGGGTTTGGTTCACCAAAGAGTGCTTTGAAGGGCTGCCCGTAGTTATAAAGAGGAAGAAGGGCTATGCTTTTGAGGATATCTTCATGACGTGTGTATATAGACACTATCTTGATAGGTATTATGAGGATGGGCATCTAATGGGGAATGGAAACAAGGTCAAGGATTTGAGGAAGTTCAAGGGAAAAAGAGACCGGGTTGTACATGATATCCGAGAGGCATACATGGTGATGTCATAACCAAGATTGAGTATGAAAAGGAGGGAAAAGTTAGCATTTATCTCATGCATGCCGAGGATGT